GGCAGTGGGTGCTGGAGGGGTTCAGTGCCTTCCAGTGCACTTCCATCTCTCCAGCACCCAAAAACTCACTGCCCCTTGCTGAGTTCTTGCTTTCTTCCACCCTGACCCGCTCCTCTGGCAGCGACGGTGACTCAGATGTGGACTCGGAGCTGGAGGAGCGCGTGGATGGGGTGAAGTCTTGGCTCTCCAAGAACAAAGGCTCCTCCAAAGCACTCTCTGATGATGGCAGCCTGAAGGGCAGCAGGTGGGTGCAGGGCTGGGCATGGGGCTGGTGGGCAGAGGACGGGCTGAGCTGTGCTGGGACATGGATAGGGCTGGGTGGGTGCCCGTGGGATGTGGCATTTGGTGCTGTGTTCCCACCTGGTGCTTGTGTGGATGGCCAGGGAAGGACTAATGCTGGTGAGCGGCTCAGTCTTCACTGGGGACACACTTCCCCCCTCCCTGGTCCCCCTTCCCTCATCCCACCATGGAGGCATATGGGGCATCCACAGCCCTCACCCCATCTGCCTCTCCAGGGCTTGTGGTGCTGGGCTTTAGCTCTGTGCAGCATTCCATCTCTCCAGGATTGATTCCCCTCTCCTCACACCTCTCAGAAAATGTTGGCAGAGGTGGGGAACGTGCCCAGGTGCAGCCACGGCATGGGGCTGAGGCACACAGCCCCACTCCCCTTCCCCCTGTAAAATGCTTGCCTGCTGAGCGCAGATTGCTTTTATCCAAACCCAATTTCCTAGCAGGGCTCCAGGAGTCCCAGGGGACTCCCTCCCTCTGCCGAGCAGGGGGGAAAGATCTGAGCTGGTTTCTGTTAATTGGTTTAATTTATTCAGCGGTGCAGATGTAAAACATTTTGTTATTGGAGATAATTCCACCTTTTCTGAAGTCAGGAATCAAACGCAGCGGCTCCAGGTAGCCGACAATGAAATAAATTGAAGGCAACACTTTAAAGGGGGATCAAAGTGCTGGGCTAGAACAATTCCCCCATTTACATGACATTTTTCCACGATGCCATTTCCCGCTGACGCAAATTGCCGAGGCCGCCTCCCTCCTTCTCCCGCTCATCTCCGTGTCTCTCTTGTCTCCCCGGTGCGTGCGGGGCCGCGGTGCCGCGGCGCAGGTCAGCCCCGCCGGACGGCCCCGAGCCCGAGGAGCGGCCGGTGTCGGTGTTGAGCTCGCTCAGCTACAGGAAGCGGCCGGGCCTCAAGGACTCCATAGGCGGCCTCGGGGATGAGCAGACGCTGTTCAGCGCCCTGGGCGAGCGGCCGCCTTCCCCCGAGCGCCCTCCGCGCAGGGCGGCCCGCGGCGGCGAGCCCCAGGACCGGGCGGCCGTCATCGCCCGCGCCTTCGCCGACGCCAGCGGCCGGGCTCGCCAAGGGCTGGACAAGCGGTGGTCCCTGTCGGCCACCGACGTAGAGAAAGCGTCTGTCGCCTCCGCCCCAGTGAGCCGCGTCTCCTCCGCCTCCTGGCGCGGGCTGGAGGACGGCGACGATGTGGACGAGGGATGCTCGGTGCTGAGCTTCGCCCTCTCCAGCCCCGGCAGCTTGCGGAGCCGGCGCGGGGGCCCCGAGGGCCGCCCTGAGTCGCGGCTCTCCCTGGCCCGCAGCCGCCTGGATGAGGCGGACGAGGGGTCCCGCGGGCAGCCCCTCCTGGGGCGCAGCTTCTCGGTGCCCCCACGGCCCCGCAGCGCGGCCTCCGAGGAGGAGGGTCCCGGGGACGCCCGTCCCGTGCGGCACCGCTCCTACCTCGACCCCGACCTGGAAGCCGCCATCCAAGAGGTGCTGAGCTACCGCCCGCTGCAGGCCAGGGGCTACTCCAGCCCCGACTCGGGGGATGACGGCCGGAGTGTCCGCAGTGTCAGGAGTGTCCGGAGTGCGGCTCCTCTGGGCGCCGCCGACCGCCCCTCCGGCAGCCTGCGCCGCTCCGCGTCCGCCCTCGACTTCTCCCGGCACACCTGCCGGTGCCGCAGCAGCTCGGGCTCCTCTGAGGAAGAAGAGGAGCAGAAGAAGAAGAGCTCCAAGAAGCGTGCCAAGAAAAGCAAGAAGAAATCCAAGAAGAAGAAGAAGAAGCAGCAGTCATCATCCGAGTCCAGTTCCTCCTCCGAGTCCTCCTCCGGCTCCACCAGCTCCTACCGCAGCACCTCCAGTGTCAAGAAGGGCCCTCGGGGGGCGGGGAGCGAGGAGCCGACACGTCCTGCCCGGGGCAAGAAGGAGGAGAAGCAGCGGAAAAAGCAGGTGGACAACCTGATGATGAAGTACCTGTACCGTCCCGAGAGCGACTGAGGCAGGAGGTGGGAGCGGTGTGTGCCGTGCAGCATGAACCTCCCCGTGTGCCACTAACAGCTCGTCCTAACCCTCTCCTGACTCCGGAGCTCTCCTCCGCCGGCATGGGGCACCCCGGGATGGGGCAGCCCTCTGTGCCTGCAGCTGCCCTGCTTTGGGCATCTCCATCGGTGGGGAGATCCCCGGCATGGCCGCAGCGGGACCGGCAGCTGCCCGTGCTGCCAGGACGCAGCGTGGTCGGGATTAGCAGCTGCGGGACACCAGGAAGTGCTAATCCCTTCCTGTCCCCCTTCCTGGCTCCCCAGCCATCACCAGGACACATCTGGATTTATTCCTTCAGGAGATTTGTAAGGGTTTGATGGGCAGCACATCGCCCAGGAGCAGAGGGGAGTGGGATGGGTACTAACATGCACCCACTGCAGTGTGTGAGCATGGGGGGAGGCAGCACCCATTGTGGGGGGACCCAGGTTGGGTTGCTGGAGCTCAGAGCTGCTCTGTGCCCTGTGTTGGGAATTTGGGGTGTGGATGGCATCAACCTGCAGGATTCTGCAGCTCTGTACGCTGTTTGATGCAGAGAGGGTGTGTTTGGGCTCACTGGCAGCAATTTCAGAGCAGGCTTCATCCTTTCTGATGGCTGAATAGGAGAGCGGCTGGAGGAAGGAAAAAAAGCCTTTTGGAAATGTGGTTGCCTTGAGCTGTCTATCCCAGAGGAAGGGAAGGCATCATGGGCTACTGGGGAGCAACAACCCCAGCACCCAGCCCTGGGCTCGGGTACAGGACCCTCAGGGTGTCTGGGATCACTGGTGTTGGCATTCAGGGCCACCAGCCTTTTCCTGGGCAGGCTCAGCTTGGCCCCGCTGCAGAGCAGGGGCTCAGCTCAGCGCAGCGAGGAGTTGTTTGCAGTGAGGCATGTCCCAAATATCTCGGAAAGAATAAAAAAGGAGGCAATCAAGGCTCCATCCAGCTGGCTGCCAGCGTGCTGGCTCACCGCAGCTCCCGCTGCAGCCGGAGGGGAGTCGAGCTCAGCAGCCAAGCCACGCTGGGGACATGGAGCCCCTCGTCACCCCCCCTAACCCTGCTCTCTCCCGCAGCCCCACGAGCTCCCGGCACACCTTCACCTACGACAGATGGGACGACGAGCAGGACGCCGGGGACAGCACACGTCGCTCGTCCCGCAGCTCCCCCAGTGCCAGCGAGGCGGAGAGCCGGGCTGCCGAGACCCCCGCCTAGCCCCCCACCGCCACTTCCCACCGCCCCGGGAGGGAACACTCAGCTCCGGGCAGCCGGTATTTGTCCTGCACGGGTTGTGGGGGACACACGCAGCCGCCCCCTGGCTCCAGCCACGGGAGGAGCAGCCCGGCCGGCTCGCTGGCTGCACCCCCCTCCCTCCCACCTCCTGTCTGTCCCTGGCGGCGGAGTTGGCTGCTCCGGCACCCGGGATTTATTCCTCAGTGCCTGCTGGCACCTTGTTTTGTAACTTAAACTCCCCCCTTCGGCACCCTGCCGTCCTCTTACACCCCTTTTAGTTGAGCCAAAGACGTCTCTCGCTGGCCGGGCCCTGGGGAGCAGCCACCTGGCAGCCAGGAGGGGGACATGGGGAGAGGGTCCCACCTGCCCACCTGGGTTTTTGTGACCTCCCCCAGCCCCCCACCTCTGCCTGGCTGTTTTGCACTAGCCCAGCTGTGCATCCTCCCCCACCCCCTTTACTTTCAGTATGAAAATAAACGTCATTTCTGGCTGGTGATACTGGCTGCTGCCTGCTCCATGTGCCTGGGGGGTCTCCCCGTTTTTGGGGGGTGTCTGCATGGGGAACGGTCTGATGGAATGCATCCAGCCCCAGCAAGGAAGCAGAGCTTCATGGAAAGGCCAAGTCTGGCCTCTTCTCTGAGCCTGCTGCACCCATGGGTGCTGGGGAGGGGAATGGGAGGGGAAGCCCTCGTGGGTGCCAGTGCTGAATCATTTATCAATCTTCATAAATATGCAGATGAGCAGCGGGACAGAGCCTCTGCCTGCTGGCGTTAAATAATTAACGCGGAGGAGATGATGATGTGCATTGCTGGCTGCCTGCACGGCTCAGCCTCGGCCCTGGCCCCGTGCTGTCCCCGTGCCATGTGCTGTGCCCTGGCCCCAGGGACACCCTGCACCCTGGGGACCCCCCTCACTCCCTGGCAGGTTGTTTCCCTTTCCCCAGTATCTCTTGGAAGCACACAGGCCAAGCTCGATGCTCGCTGCCATAAAGCCACGCTGCGCTAATGCGCTTTCATTAAGTGGGAGCGATCTAATGATAATAAAATGGCACATTTAACATTAAAACATTTAACTTGACTCCTAAGCGAGTGTGTCTCTCCACGCTGCTCCTGCTCCATCTTCATGAGGCTGACAAAGCTGCTTAATTTGTTCCCCAGGAGTGGGTGCTTGGTAGAGATGGTTTGGCACCGCGCGGCATGGGGGATGCTGGGATGCTGCCAGGTGGGGAGGCAGGGTACCAGGGTGCAGGGATTTGGGAAGCAAGGGTGCAGAGGTGCTGGGATGGTGGAATATGGGAACGTGGCAATGCAGGGTATCTGGGGTGTGGGGTTGGAGGAATGCAGCGTGTTGGGAGTCCCCAGGGTGCAGGGAGATGGAGATACATGGAGGTGGAGGTGTGCTGGGTGTGAGGACACCGGGATGCAGGGACACAGCTGCAGGCCAGTGTGATGCCATGGGGGCACTTCTGGAACCCCACACCTACTGTGCAGCCCCAAGCACACCAGGGAAGCGAGTGATGGCGAAATGGGCCATGTTGTAGGATGGCTCCTCACCCAGGCTCAGCTCACACAGCAACTTCCCCACCACTGGTGCCAGCTTGAACCCATGGCCTGTGGGAAGGAGAGGGAAGGTGGGCACACAACCATCCCCACGACCCTGGACAGCTCTGGGGTGCTGGGCTGGGGGATGGCTGCCCTCCCCTACCTGAGAAGCCAGCACCGATGACGATGTTGCTGAACTTGGGGTGCCGGTCCAGGATGAAATCTTCATCTGGAGTGTTCTGGGGAGCCAGGGTGTGAAGGTGAGGGGACAGGCTGGGGTCCACCTTGGGGTGGGGGAAGGCTCAGGACCCAGATGCCTGGATCTGTGCCCTGGGGAGGGTCTCACCGTGTAGAGGCAGGTCTCCATCACCGCAGGCTGGGTCTCCAGCCCAGGCAGGTAGCTGCTGATGAAGCTGCTCAGAACGGAGATGTCAGGGCGGGGGGCACTCGAGGGGGCCTGATCCCGCCTGTCTGGGTCAGTGGGGCTGCCATGGTGGTGGCACACCTGGAGCACAGCTGGTCAGAGTGGGCTGGTTAGGGAATCCCCCACCTTCAGCTGTGCCCTGCTCACCTTCATCAGACCTGGGTACTCAATGGAGGGCAGCCCGTAGATGCCGTGGGGGGCTTGGCTCAGCCCCAGGGTCAAGAAGCAGGGGCTGACACTGCCCAGGCCAACACTCCCAGGCTGCTTCTCCCTCCAGTAGCAGACATCGATGCGCAGGGGCTGGAATCACTCCATTAGCTCTGGCCATGCCTCTGCCACCCCCCTGTGCCACCAACCTTTACCTGCAGTGGCAGGTGGAGACCCAGCTGTTCCACGAAAGCACCGGTCCAGGCTCCAGCCGTGATGATGAGCCGGGGGGCTTTGTACACCCCAGCAGTGGTGGTGACAGTGACCGTGGCCCCAGGCTGGATGCTCAGCACCTTCTCCCCGTCCCGCAGGGTGCCCCCGTGTCGCCGAAAAACCTCCTGGGTGGGGAGGGTGACAGGAGGTGGCAGCGAGGATAGAGCCAGGGGACCCCCATCCCATCCCAAACCATCTTGTGTCATCCCAAAGCATTCCATCCCCTCTGCAGCACCCACCTGCACTGCCCGCAGTGCCCGGTCAGCGAAGAGCACCCCGGCGGTGCTGTCCAGCACGGCCACCTGCCCAGCTTGCAGCCGGAAGCCAGGGAAGCGCCGGGACAGCGCCGCGGCGTCGAGGACCTCGTCAACACCCAGGCTCCTCCTGCAGGCCTCCAGCTCCGGCTCTCCCGGCGGCCCCAGCAGCACCAGTCCCGTCTGCCTGCATCCCACCGGTCCCGTCAGCTCGCCCTGCTCCCCCTCCCTGCATGGACCCCCAACTTGCTTTGCCCCTGGGGGAAACTGAGGCACGGTGACAGCAGTGATGCTTGGGGTGTGTTACACCCTGGTGCTGGGGCACAACACAGTGGGATGCAGGGGACAAGGGCAGAGTGAGGTGCAGGGGGACTCTGCCCTCTAAATACAGCAAGGGCCATCAGCCCTGACCCCGGCACGGGAGGATCATTTAGATGCTCTTTTCCTTAATGACATTTCCTTCGTGGAGCCCCGTAAATTACCAGGAACTGGCAGCTGCCTGCCAAGGAAGCCGCATCCCACCCAAAGGTCACCGCCCCCAGTGCCCGGCGGTGGCTGCGTCCCTGTCCCCATCACCTGTAGAGGGTGGTGCCGGTCTCGGCCTCCAGCTGCTGCCAGAGGCGGAAGCAGTCGGGCATCATGCGGGAATAGTACTCCTGGGGGTAGGCGCTGCGGATGATGCGGCTCTGCCCGTGAGAGCTGCCCCGAGAGTGGGGCAGGAGGAACTGCGAGGCAGAGAGGACATGGGGGTGACCACAGGCACTGCCACCCTCAGTGCCACCAGCCCCATGTGCACCAGTGCCCAGGCAGAGGGCACCTTGGGGACACAGCCTGTCCTGTCACCCACGGCACCGGGAAACAGCAGGAAATGGGGATCCTGGCGCTGGGGACATGAGGGCCTTGGCACTAGGGACAGGGTGTCCTGACACCGGGAACTGCAGTGCCAGCAGCAGCTCTGCTCTGTGCCACGGTGGAGGGCAGCCAGGTCTGCAGGCAGCCGGCCCAGCCTGTTGGGAATGGGGACGTGGCAGAATGGGGTCGCCATACCTGCTCCAGCAGCAGAGTGTCCTTGTGGCGCTGCGCCAGGTGGTAGGCAGTGAAAGAGCCCTGGATGCCGGCCCCGATGACAATGACATCGTAGGTGGACTTCTGGGGCTGGCCTGGGGCAGCCATGTCCGTCCTCGTCCCTGCTGCTGTCTCTGTGTCCGTCCTCGTCCCTGCTGCTGTCTCTGTGGCCGCTGGGAGGGGGCCAAGGGGAGGAACGGGGCAGAGTCCAGCCGAGCCGAGCGGGTGATGGAGCCTTGGCCACCTTCCAGCTCTGTGGGGACACAGGGGCACACAGGGGCCACGCTCTTCCTGCCCCTTGCAGCTGGCCAGGAACGAATATTCTCATTTCCCCACCAACACCAACACCTGGTCCCAGGAGGGCAGGCAGCTCAGCTGGTCAGGGTAGCATGGATGTGAAGGAAAACCACTTTAATAATTCCCCCTTTCCACTGGTCACTGCTGGCTCCAGCTGTGGTGGGACACAGAGCTTCCATTTGTGTGCCAATGGGAAACCCCCCCTCGCCTCCAGGCAAACAGGGCTTTTTTTCCCTCCAGCACAATTTATTACAGCCATAAACCATTTTGTCGCCATCTTTTGTTGTTATTTTTTTAACGGGAGATAGGGGTGATTTAGGGCTCACCAGAGCTGCCAGGACACAGCATGGTGGATTTTGCAAATCTGTAACATTTTGGGGTGTGACTGGGGTTTGGGCACAATGCCTCAGAGTGGGGGATAACACAGGCAGGGGCTGCCAGTTTTGCCCACTGCCACCACTGCCCTGTGCTGCCTGACATTCCCCTTAATTAGGGGAATTAATTTACTCTGGCTTCTGCGGTGTAAAAGGCATTATTTACTGGTTAATTGTCGTTATTACAAAGTGATAAATACCATTATTTATTTTGCCACTTGCCTCTGGTGATGAATGAAGCACTGGGGAGCACTGGAGGCTCCCACCATGTCACAGAGACACCCCAACATGGTTCAAAGGCAGGACTGGTGGCTCGCAGCCATGGGGAGGTGAGAGGAGGAGGATGGGCAGCACGGACAGAGATTGGGGTGCCCCCAGACCCCTCACCCACCCCACTGCCCATGGCCACTACTGCAATGAGTGCATCCCAGTCTGAGCATCACCACTGTGCCCAGGGCTCTGCATCACACAGGGCCCCGTTAAATCAGCACATCCTCGCTCGCCTTTGATGTTACAAATAATTCAGCAATTTCCCTGGGTTTCAGCTGACTTTTTTTTTGCTTTGAATAGCCCCTGTGCTTGCTCTTCCTTTTTTGCTGGAAAGATGAAGAATAATTAATTATCCGTGAAACGTTAAATGGTAGAAATGAACTCCTCTCCTGTTAGCAGTGTGGTAATGGAACGGATGGAAAAGCCTCGCTCGTGAGGTTACAGAGATGGTGAGATCTTTGGTGGGGTGCAAATCACCATCCCCAGGGCTCTGTGGGACCCCTCAGGCCTTTGTTTTTGTTCTGCAGGTGACCCCAACCAGGGCTGAATGCAGGCATCAGGGAGGTCTGCACCCCCAAAGCCCAAAAAGCAGCTGCAGGACCTCAGTTTGCCTTAGGGTGAATTTTTGGGGGTCCCCCCAGCCCTGTGCCAAGGTCTCCATCATCCTTGCTATGTCCTCTTCACCTGGGTTTATACTGAATGGAGGCAATGCTTGTGGCAGCAAGAAATCCATTTCCCTAAGCAGCTGGCGTGGGTCAGGAGAGCTCAGTAAAAATGGAATATTCCCTGTGTGGGCTGGGTGGATGGATGGGAAAATCTGGGTCTGGCAATGGCACGGGGAGGGGGAAATGGGAGCTTGGGGAACTGCCTGGCACAGGCTGTGGGAGCTGCCCTGTCTCAGATCCATGCGGCACTGGGGAGGTGGGGAAAAAGGAACTTTGGCCAAGGCTGGGCAAGGATCCGATGCAATGTGATAGGTGTTGGACTCTGCACCCACTGCACCCTTTTCGTCCACTGTACGGTGGGACAGAAGTTTCCCAAAATCCCATCATCCATCTATGCCGGCCTCATTTTTCACCAAGCACAAACCAATACTTAAAAAAGAATTAGGGAGCAATGCTCTTCCCCAGGGAGCTGAGGTAAACACAGCATCTTTCTCTCCTGGCTGCAACGTTGGCTCCATGCATTCTTGCCCCCATTTTCCTCCCCAGACCTCTCCATTCCCCATCCTTTGATGGCACCTGCAAAGAATTGTTTGTTTTCTGTCAAAAGCAACAGCGGCTGAAGGCAGCCCCTCATTAGCAGTCCAGGTACATGCCTGGGGATGCATCAGGCAGATTAAAATTATTTGAATATCATAATATTAGAAACTTCAATTTGGCCTCAAAATGCTCATCTTCCGAGCCCTACCAGGGCTTTGCTGCATTAAACATTGATGGCGCTACTGGCGGATCAAAGTTTTGGGTTTAGAGCTGAAAGTGCTTTGCAGAAGAGCCGGCAGCACCCCTGGGATGAGAAGGATCCCAGCATCACTTCCAGCCCTGCTCCCACCACAGCCCTGGGGCTGGTGGCACAGCAGACAGTGCCACGGAGCTGGTGGCACTCAGCCCATGACGTGGGACTGGCTGCTGCTCTCGGCTCCCCATGCCAAGCCATGCCATTCTCCATGGCAGGAATGATGCAAAGCAGGACCTGGGATTAAAATTAACCCCCCAGTGGAGCTGGCTGCGTGGGCTGTGTGTGCAGCGGGGCTGGCCGGGCTGCGGGGGATCCGGCGAGGCGAAGCCATCTGGGCTTTTGGAGGGGTGGGGAGGGGGTTATCAAACAAAGAGATTTTTTTTTTTAATATATTTTTAACACCCACAAGAGCCGTCCATCAGCCAACATGGAGCTGCTCGGTGCCGGTGCCAGCACCATCTGCCCACTGCAGGGCTGGCTGCCCTACGGGACCCCGAGGCAGGGGGCTGGGAAGGGGCTCTTGGAACCCCATCACAAAGAATACCGGCCCCTCCCTGTGCTGCTCCGGCTGCAGGTGTCTCTGCTTGGAGGATGATGAGCCCAGCCCTAATTTGGGCTATTTAGGGATGGGGAAGAGGAGGCTGGGGGAAGGGAGGTGGTTGTGGTGAGAGTTCTGTAGGGTGGGGAGGCAGGATATGGTGAGCTGGGCACCGAGCACCTTTCCCACAGCCCTCGCTGGCTCCCACCCCGAAGGTTTGCCGGGATTCGGGGAGGAAGGGGGGGTTAGGCGATCCCCCTCCCCCAGCCTTCATCGCCAGCTTTAGCGGGCGCCGCACACGAAGAGTTACGGCGTGGGGGTGGGGTAGCAGGGAGGAGCCCCCCCTCTCCCAGCCTGCGGGATTGGAGGGCGCCTCGCTCGGAGAGTTACGGCCAGGGGTGGGTGGGGGGAGCCCCCCCTCTTCATCCCTGGAATTAGCGAGCGCCCCACTTCCAGCATCACGGCCGGCCCCCCGCCCTGTCCCTGGGATTGGCGAGCTCGGAGCGTTACGGAGGGGGGGATTTGAGGGGGAGGCGGGCAGAGCCCCCCCCTCGCTCCGCACATCCCCGGCCCCGGGTGTGCGCCGCGCTCGGAGCATTACGGCGAGGGGGGGCTGCGAGGGAGGCGGGGAGAGCCCCCCCGATCCTGGGATTGGTGTGCGCCGCGCTCGGAGCATTACGGGCCCCCCCCTCCGCCGTCCCCGGTATCGGCGGGCGCCGCTCGGGGCGCCGCCGCCGCCGCCGCGCCCGCAGCGGAGCTGTCCGCGGTGCTGACCGCCGCCGGCCATGGGCCCGCCGCCCGCGCTGCTCCTGCCGCTCCTCGCCGCGCTGCTCCGCGCCCCGGCACACGGTAAGCGCCCACCGACACCCCCGGGTCATCCCCGCCGTGCATACCGACCACCCTGCGCTACCGGGTGGCCTCAACCCGCCTCCGCCGCCGTCAAACTTTGCCAACTCGTGCTCGCCCCCCGGTGCGGAGGGGACGCTCCCCGTTTTCCCCCGGTGAACCGAGAATCCCCCCCCACCCCCTCCTCGTTATCCGCCCCTCCGGGGACGCGCACGGCGCTTTGCAGCCGGGCTGGTGCAACGCCGCCCCCGGCAGGCTCCGGCGGCAGCCCCTCTGCCGGTGTTACCGGCGGGGGGAGCATCGCCGCACCGGGGGCTGGGCAGGCACGGCGGACCCGTTCCCGCGGTCACCGAGCCCTTCGAGCCGCCCTCGGGCTGGCTACGCCGTGAGCCGGTCCCTCCGTGCGGTCCCCACTGCCGGGTGGGGGGCACCGGGGACATTTGGTTCTTTCCCCCTCTCTCCCCTGTTGGGGTGACCCCTCCAGTTCTGCGAGGATCGCAGGGTGGCGAGTGCTGGTTTGCCAGGGAGAGCAGCCAACACCCAGCTCGGCTCCTTGTCCCTGCCACCCGTGGGGCACCGGCAGTCTCGATGCCTCGTGGCTCCGCTGCCCCAAAAATAGGATTGGGGACCTTCCAAGGCTTGGGGAGCTCTGTCGGGGATTGGGGTGCCCGGGAGCAGTGTGGCCAGGCATGGGGCGATGGGCGGGTCGTGGTCCAGCCCCGGTGGGATGCGGGATGTGGGCACCGGCTGCAGGCAGCAGCCGTGCGGGGAGTTACATAAACTCCCCATCTGGCGGCGGAGCCCAGGCGGGGAAGGGCGCCGTGGCCCTGCGCCCGCTGCTATTCCCAGCTCGCCCTGCCGCCTGGGGCTGCTGCCACTGCCTTCCTCCTTGGGAGAGGCAGAGGATGGGGACAGCGAGTGGGGCAATGCCACGGAACCCCCATCTCCTGCCCTACTGGGGGGGCAGCAGGACTGGAACGGGGGGTCCACATCTGTGGCTCTGTCCTGGGAGCAGGGCGCTGAGCAGGGCAGATTTCCCCCAAGGGAGGCTTGGTGCTTACTGTGTCAGTTTAATGATTTCTAATGAGCAATTACCTCTAGTCAGTCCCCTAATTTCTGAATATCAATAAAGTTAATTAAACACTGCATGTGCATTTCCCAGAGTCTTAAAAGTAGGGATGCCCTGGGAGGTGCTGAGCTTTTCCCAGGGCTGGGACCCATGGGGTCCTGTCCACCCTGTATCCCCTCACCATGTACTGGGAGCTGCCTGTGTGGCTCGTGCCTCAAAGTCCCCATCCTCCATCAGGCAGGGCTCCCAGGGGTTC